TGTTTCTTCTGTATCTGATAGACGTATATGTCCATCGTTATGGGAATTATTGATTTAATTTTAAATATTATTATTTTAATTAATGCTGCAACAGATTATTCTGAGAATATGCTTAAATTACACTACCGTTTAATTATAAACATTTACAGAAGTTGTCATGATATAAAGTATGACGTAATAACTCTAAAGATCTAACCTTAGATTGCTTTTTGTTCAGATTATTCGTTTTCTATCGATTTTGGTTGTGTTGTAATGAACCGTTAATATGTGATAATTACTTTCCTGTTTTATGCTGTTTATCTGTTAATACCTCTGCAGTTTTCTTTTTCTAATATAATTTCTAACATTTGACCCTAGGCGGCCACAGGACCGTCTTTTGCCACGTTTCTTAACCATGCATTTCGTATGTGCTCAACTGACGTGTGAAGTTCAAAAGAGAAAAGAGTTTGAAGCTTTTCAAGGAGAATGATGTTACGATTCTGATTCAGATACGATCTTAGTACAATTCTTCAACCTGGGTCAACAATGTCTGGTACAAGATTTTGTAAGATCTTACAAGATTATATGAATTCTTTTCATAAAGTCTTACAAGACCTTGTCACTTCTCATAACCAGATCTTCGGGGATCTTATAGCAAGAAGTTACAAGATTCCATAAGATCTTATATTATCTTATAATAAGGTCTTGTATGATCATATCGTAAGACCTTATTAAAAGATTTCACAAGAAAACATCAGATCTCGCAAGGTCTTACAAGACGTGTTTCACCTGGGTTCCTTAAACAACTATGGTCAAGAAGCAAAACAATTTTAAGTTATTTTAAGTGTGAAAATATTCGCACTTATATTTACACAAGAGTGTAAAACAAAACGATGATTCAAGAATTTCCAAGAACTTGGTACAAGAAGTTAAGAAATTACAAGATGTTCAAGATCTGGACTTCTTGAATCCTTACCAAGATCTTACTGAAAAAATTCAAGAAGTCAAGATCTTGGTTACACGAAGTTCCATTAGAGGAATATAATCGGAGCGCCTTAGTTGTTTGATACAAAAAAGCAAAAACGAGGCAGAAAAGGATTAAAAAATCAGAAGATCTGGGATCCCTGGTTATGATTATTGGTGAACTCACTGATGTAGCATGGAGAAAATGATAAATCCATAAATCAGAATTTTTATTTAGAATTGAATTTGAAAATGAGATTGGCACATTGTTTTTAGCTAAATTTATTATCTAAAACAAACATTAACTGAAATATTTTCTAAGTAACACTGATACACAGACCTTCATAATGATAACGATTTGAATCAGCTTCATCAGGACTAAGCTGCTGACGTTAACAAAGTTTGTTGAATTATTAGTTATATCCTTCCAGTTGAAAGAATGTTTCAAGTAAAGCACGAGGATATTGATGTGCTTAAAAGAATGAAACAAGACGCAGTAGTGGCTTTTACACGTCTTTCTTGGACGAGTTAAAATGGTACAAATAATTTAACATTCAATTATTTCTCTACCGTTTGAACCTTTTGTATTATTCACATATAATCGAGTAAGAAAGTCTTTCTTGAACTTTCGTCAGAATAATATCTGAATCGTATCGAATGACGAAGTGCACATCATCGTTGTCATTATAAGATTTACTCATTGCTTCACAATATATTCAATCAAAATTATTATTTACTTTTCGGTAAGCAAGTACACTTTTAATTATTTATCTTTTTGGAAAGCAATTCTTTAATATATACGCATTCATATAACAGACAGTATACTGGATTCGCAGGTAAGTGCAATCAGTTTTATTTATAATTAAGAATTAGAAATAATTTTTTTCGAAATAGTTGAATTGATGAATAGAGAGACATGTGGTTTTCGTCGTAGTGTGGCAAAGATCTAACCGTATAAACGTAAAATATCAAGTGCATGTCACCAGCTTTTGGTGGTGTATCTTACTACTTTCTGCTTATTCTTCCGACAGTATACCATAACTCACTTTCAATTTTGCTTACATAAATAAATTTTCGTTCCCTATTTGTGATATTTCATCTTATCATTTTGTATGTTGTTTAATCTATCCAATAGCGCTAGTTCCAGACAGTTAGCATCATTAAGACTTGTCTTGTTGCCTTTCCTATATAAATATATACGCAAACGTAGACGTGTATCTTTTCTCATCTGAACACGGGAGAAATAAGAAAAAGAAATGGTTTAGGTATATGTATAAGCATACAAAAATATATCTGAGGATATCTTTTTCAAACTTCCAAGGACGTTCAGTACAGTGTAATTTATTGTATATTAACAGCCCACAAAACGTATCTTAAATGACATTTTTTAGCTAGTTAACATTAGAGCTGCGAAAAATAGCGTTTTCTTTTCTTTTTTTTCTTTTCTATTTTCTTTTCTTATTCACGTTATATATAGTGTGTGCTCACGTTACGGTACACATATATTACATACATTAACACTGTTGTCTGTGTAGAGTGATGTCACGTTTCTTTCTTTTCCTTAGTGTGTACGAACGTTATGTGTTTTTTTACATCATGCTATTACTGAAGTGACGCGTTATAGGTTTGTTATTTTCTATCGTTTATACAGTCACATAGTCGTTTATTCATAGCCGCTTATTCTTCGCTAGTAGGAGTAGAGAAAGAAAATAAATTTTATCAGTAAACAGCAAACCACGGCAGTAGAATAAACCATTCTTATGAATTGAAATTGACTATTCATAAATTGGAGAGTTTCAGACACAGATATACCGTTTGGCACATACAAACATATAAAAGAATTAAGTTTTCAGCAAAAAAATCACTGAGTTTTACAGATCAAGACTCGTTTTTTTCTTATACGTTTGAAAGAGGTAGAAGTTTGTGAACAACCCCATGACGACGGTGAAGAAGACAAATTGCGGATACTTTGCGGAAAAAAATACAGAAAGCGAAATTTGTCTGCAAAATGCGGACTATCTGGGTACTCTGTCCACGTCACTAGTTTTTAACTAGAAGTTTTCAACTAGAAGATTATGGAAGACGAGACTAAAAGGATCATTTTAATCAGAATGAGCATCAAACCCACATCGTCCGATAACCGTCGGTTGCTTAATCCAATTAAACTACTTGGCTTTCATTTTAACTATCAAGTAGCTGCATATCATATTCATGTTAGTTATATAGAATACATTAGGACAGTAGTGATCAACATTCATCTTTGTTTTCTATTATTGCACATGAACTTGGGCTCCTTGGTTTTAGTGTAGCCTTCCAGAAATACTTCGTCACTTGTTGACGACCATTATTCTTGAAAAGTGTTGATGCAATGACCTGGTTCTTGTTTGCGATATTCTTTTAAACTACAGGCTTATCGTGATCTTCGTGTGTGCACGTCCACATTTAATCAGTTTAGTTGATGAGCTTTTTGGAGAAGCGAAAGCCGACATTTTGAGCTAGTCTGTATGAGATGAATTGATTTATTCAGCAATATGCTAGCAGCCTGTTTCTATTTATCGCTAAATGTGTCTCATTCTAGTGTTGTAATCATCATTACAAACTTTGGGATTTCGAGTTTGACTATGCGAAGTTGTCCCCCGATGTGATGTTTGGTTTCTCTTCTTCTTGTAACAGAACATTTTTATGAAACGAAGCAGTCTTCATTTTTTTCCACTCTTCAATGTTCTTTCAATGTTGTACAAGCATCGTGAAACATGTAAAGGGATGAGAAAAATCATCATACAATCAACAGAACAACATTTTATTTGCCGAAGAGATGTCAAAGGACGAAGAAAATGGCTTATATATACTTGAGTATGGATAGAAGTATGGTGTGCGCTGCTGTTTAGTCACATCATGCTATACTAACGAGTGTTACAAAAAGAATAACGTAATTTTTATTTTCAAAACTTCTCCTCTCCTTTTGAATTTACAGAGCTCATTTTTTTACCAGAAGAATCTCACAAACAGCAGACTTTATTCAACGAATATAATCTCCCCTGTTTTTTAAGGTAAAGCGCAATCATACAGTAAAGCTTTCAACAGAATGTAAAACAGTGTGAACCGGGATTTTTTTCTAACTAACTAACAGTGCGGGAGAATTAAGCGTGCTCTACCGTATATTTCAAAAGCTCTTATTAAAGAAATATTATTCAAACACCATGACCATCCTTTAATTGGTCATTTTGATGTCGATCGTACATGGCAAAATATAAAAAATACATACTATTGGCCCAACCTTGATTTTTCTACAATCCTAAACTAGATCTCTTTAATCGAACGAGTATAAAGTTTGATGAGAGTAGATTTTTGAATTAGGCCCTAGATTTTAGATAAATCACGATCTTTGGTAAACCTGAAAGACCTTTTCAGTGATTTTGGGAGTTTTGGATCGGTAGAAAACCAACAAAGGCCTAATTCAAAAATCGCACCTAATTCAAAAAAACTTAGCTAGGCATCTAGTCTAAAATAAAACCAACTCGAGGTCTCTATCTTGAAGTATAATAAAAAAGCCTGTTCCACGGTCGAGGGTGCATTTTTGGCTTCTTGGACTCTGGAAAACACGCGAACGGTAAGGGACAGCGAGGCAAAAGGAATTTCATAACCTCACTTTCATATGGCAAACATTTGCTGAAAGTTTCATCAAAAAAGCTAGAGGATGGCTCCTTCAACCTTCATAATTTACGTCTCTGGGTTATATCATCATAAACTTTAAGTTCTTTTGTTTTTCTTATGTTATTTATACAAATTATGGATGTAGATGAATTTACATTTTACAATTATAATAAATAAAGCAATTTTTTTTGTCAATAGAGACAATTTCATTCTCAGATACAACATTTATCTAAAGAGTTCATGTTATCATTTCATGATAGTTAAACAACTGTAACAGAAATATACTATACAAATTTATAGCTACATTTATTAAAAACTATTCTTATTCTATAAATCTTTTAATTTATTTTCGCAAAAATCATTATAGTAATCAATATTCAACAATGTTTACACTACAGATATGATTAAACAAAATCTTGATCTAATAGAAGATATTCATTTGAGTTAATTTTATGTGTCTCTGCACTACCCTGTGCCATGCGACTCCAACTACTTGTTATTAAAGACCATTTTTTAAATTCATCCAAATCGATAATGGAAGAGTCAATCAGTTGATAATTTTTTATTGATAAACAGATATTACATTGACACAATTCTTCTATATTTATTAGCTTCAGTTGTTCTTTATCAATTTGTTTTTGAAATTCAATTGTAAATCCACCATAAAGACCAGGAATACCAATATAATTGGTTAAATTTGATATTGTTATACAGGTGGAAGTATCGTCTATTTCCCTCTTACCAAATTTTACTGTTTGCCGTTTACCACCATAACATCTACAACATCCAAAATTTGCACCATCACACCTTCCTCAAATTGACTAAAATGGAAGTATCAAACAGTATTCACAAACATAACACTGGAAGCATTAAATGTTTGCATAGTATTGATTCTGTTTGAGATCAGATATTCTTATATTTCATGACTTTCTCACAACGATAAGTTTAATAAAAATTATTCAAAAAATATATTTAACTTCTTACCTTCAATGAATGTAGTCATAAAAAAAAGAAAAAACGAAAACTAATATCTTGTCATAAAGGTTAGAAGATATTTTCCTAATATTTGCATTTTCTTCTATGCATATATGCAGTATTTTATCATGTTTGGCCTTAATCATCATAAAACATTTCTTTATAAAAAAAAGTAATTATATATTCTAATACAACTTAACATTCTCTATCATTCCATATAATTATCTATTGCGTTGCATTTATTTGTTGAAGAAATAATTTGAGTACAGGGAACGCAGCCTCAATTGACAAGTACCAATAATCCGCATTTTTTTGCGCTACTTAAATTCAAGAGACTGTATTAATATAATTAAAATGTCAGCAATTTAAAATCTCTCGGTCAAAACCAGCTGTCACACTTCAAACAATTGAACCACCAACTGGAGTATCAGCTCTAATACGATTAGATTTTCTTGGTCTGCTTCCACCATCTATGTCTAGCAATAAATATATCCTAGTTTGCACTAATTACTTATCCAGATGGACAACTCAAAAAACTGTCAATTGTACAGTTGAAACAGCAGCTAAATCTTTCGTTGAAAAAGTGATATTACAATACGGTGTGCCGAAATTGGTGCCTATGTCAATCAACAATAAACCGACTTGGATAAATTTTTACCATTTGTAACATTTGCATAAGCAACAACTCAGATAGAACCCTTTAATATTATATTGGGGCGATCCAACTCTACCATTCGACGTACCCACTTCAGTTGCTCAATCATCATGTGCAAATGATTATTATGAACAATTAATTAGATGTCTAAAACAGGCAAAATCCACAGCCAGGTATAATACAAAGTCAGGGACGCAAACAGGAGCCGAACATTAGGGGGTGTAAACTAAAATTTCTCTCTGATGTAGTGTGAAATTGATAAAAAAAATTTTTTTTGTGAGGAGTAATGGATAAAATAACAACAGCTTTTTCAATTATTCGGGGGATGCGCACCCTCCCGTTATTTCCGCCCCTGTACAAAGCAACAACAAAACATTTATTATCATACATATGATCCCGAACCCACAGATTTACCAAAGTTAACAGCCGGTCGATTGGTTTTTATTAAACAAATGATGCCAAAAATTTACGGAAGTTCTCGCTAAAATACTACGATGCATTTAAAGTCACTCGATAGTATGACCGATTAAACTATGACGTTCAACATATTCATTACTATTATACTGAGCAAGTACACATCTCACGAATCCGTGTCATTGTTTAACGAGACCCCACAAACCAACACAGCTTATCATTCATCTACAGCAAAGATATCTTGACGGAATCCAAAGGGTCGGAGGTGGCAGCTTCTTTCCCATTCTATCAGATACACTACATATAATTATTCATACATCCAACTCAATTCATCTCTGAATATTTTGCGTGTAAAATAATGTATTTGGTCGTCTGAAAAATGCTAAGAACACCTCGGGACAGTTTGAATTCCTTTGTAATGAACAGCTGTATCAGCTTATTCTTTCTTTTATTAACAATAATAATCTATAATTTCTTCCTAATTAATTGGCTAGCAAAATGGAAAATTGAAAAATATATAAAATGTCAATTAGCTTGCAACTGGGAATGAGTCAAATAGCTGTGTTTTTCACGAATGTAGTTCAGGGCGAACTTTGTCACTAAATAAAAGGAACAAGATAGAAAATCGATCAAGATAGTTTTGTACTTGACAAAATAAAGCAAGGCGCTTTGTTACACAGTGACATACGTTAATTCATCGCTGCCGTCACTTTTATTTCGATCGCAGGATATCCCATTTTGATATATGATTTCGATACGTACTAGTTCCTTTGATCTTTCTCTCATACAGTGTTTCGCCACAACCATTGTGAATGTACAATTGTTCAACTTTTGTAGATATTTTCAATTGTAATTCATTTTTAACTTTAGCATAGTTACGATTGACTCAATAGATTGTTATCATCTGATCATAAACTAGATGATGTTGTTATTCCTGGTTGGTTTTCACCATTACCGATATATCATTTTGCACTTTTATACCTACTTCATACTATTAATAGTTACATCTATCCCACCTTTTAAATATAAGGTACCACCAAAGAGTTACACAAGTATCGAGGTTGTTCTGCTTACCAGTTATGGGTTTTGTACAAGCAGCACATTTTAATGCAAATAATTTTCCATAACATGATAAACAGTATGGATTACCATCTTTAACAGGGAATTTTTGTTCAACTGCTATACATTGTTCACAATTTGTACATTTAAAACATTCTCTATGCCTATAGACAACTGATTTTTTTCATTTTTATTTACAACAATAGTTTACCTTTCCATGGCTCATTTTTATAAATTACATAATTTTTCACAATAACCTATAGGTGAAACCAAACACTAAATTTTTTTATGTACTACATACTCAACTAACCTTTTAAGATTGAACACAGTGTTTAGCAAATTGTTGCTGATAACAAGATAAACAATAAAGATGTTCGTCGATAAATTCGACACCTTTATCAACTAAATTCGTTCCACACGCAAAACATTTTGTACAATCTTTATGCTAATACCAATCGTTAAAATTAAATTCCTATATATAAGCGATGTAATGAGTGTATTTTTAACGTACATTACACTCTAAAAAGATGTGACTAAACTTGATCCTAAGTCACACTTGTTCAGAGTGTACTGCCTCTCACCATTTTGTCAATGATTAACTTTTTACATTCTCTTCGTTGGTGTGCAGCATAACATTTAATGCATAATATTTCGTCTTTTTTTCTCCAATAAACTTCACTAATCTGTTTACAATTCGAGCATGAAAAATTGGATGCGTTTGTAACATTTTCAATATAAATAGGTATTTGTTTTTCTGACGCAGATACTACAAAAGCTATTTTTAGAACTTTTTGTTTGAAAAAATGTTTATCAACACAGATGTTCGGTTCAAAAATGTAGCTCTGAGAATAAGCCACAAAATTGAGAAAGCAGAAACTTTTATGAAGCCTCTTAGTTTTTCCAGTCTTCTCTCTTATGAAACTCAATCTGTCTGGCACCTTTAGCTATTAAATCTGCTTCAGGAACTTTGGAAGAAAATCCGCTTAAGATCCTGTGAAACTAGATCCATTGAGAGTTTCATCAGTTCATTTCATTTTGCTCCTTTGAATCTTGGATCATTGAATTACCAATTTCTTTTTTTTTGGAGGCAATTAAATCGACAGAGTGGTTCTGGAGCCAGATCTAATTAGATCCTGTGGAACTTGATTCGCTAAAGTTCCTATATTTCTCCTTTTAGGACCATCAGCATGTCATTCAACTGCGATGGGACAATGACCAAAATGTATTCCGTGGTATATTTTTCAAAAGCAAAAACCTACAGATCGAGTCCATCGATCAACGGGACAGTTTCGAAATGTCTCTTTTTACTCCTTTGTGACAACGAATACATGTTTTCTGTAATATTGCTGTTGCTTTTATCGTCGTCGATTCTGATAGAGACTGAATGTTTGTATCAGTGTTTGCGGCTTGGGATGGAATATCCTGTGGATATCTGTCCCTCCTCAACATGCTTTGATTTCAATGTAGTTCGATAGAGAAATCAATTTTATGTAGTTTTCCGTATTTTCGAAGCTTCGAAATGCCTTCTATTGCAAAAATAAGTTGTAATAGAGTACCAATCTTTTCTACGCTGGATTGCCATTAATAATTTATTTTCGATAGGAAATGCGAATGGAATTCTTCTCCAAATATATTAATCCCTAGAGCTTCAGGTCTGATCCAGAATATGTGTGAAGGAATAAAAATATAACTATTGTTTTTTATCCAAAAAAATAACGGTCGCCTCGGATCTACACTTTTAGCGCTACCATTCAAACTTTAATTATAAACCATTCCTCATGTAATGATAGTGAATAGCTCATGAAAATAGCTGCAAGAATGCGGAGATCCATTTTGGTCGTTTTTATATATATATGTATTTAGACCTAGCAAGAGTAATATTTAATTTCGAGACATATCCTTGTGTGTTGCAGAAAGTGAAAATCAGCACAAGTTCTAGAAAGATTCTGCTTCTTGAAATTTCTTGATCAAGCTCTTGTTACAACATTTTCAAGAACAGAAAGTTCAAATACTTGAACAAATCTGATCAAGATCTTGATCAACATTCACGGTACAACGATGAAAGAAGTCTAGCTCAAACCAACTATATTGATGTTTGTTAGCTATTCTTTCATTGAACAGCAGAATGTTCTTTTTCTCGTCTACTTCTTACCGTTAGTTTCCGATGTTAGCTTGTCGGGAACCACTTAGATATATATAAGGATGAAGGGATCAAATAGATGTAGATACAAAGACTAATTGAAGATGAAAGAAAGAAACTAATTAGAAGATCTGACGATAACATTGGAAACCATGCACTTACCATCAGTTTCCAATCTTCACTTGCGCACTCAAAGGTGCCATTTAACATTGCTATCATACGTTTGTCTTTACGGACAAAATTTAACGCAGATTAGTTTTTCGCAGTGTAGTTTTTCAGAAAATCGAGCACAAAGTCCGAAATTTTGGTCGGGACCAACATCTTCTGAGCCTAATAACTTAAAAGGACAAAGAACTTCAGAGCTCAGCTTTGTTCCTTTGAAAGATCCTTGGGACGAGCTACATTTTGGTTATAAGGAAGTGGATATTTACACCCATTATAAAAATGGATTGAAAATCCGTTTTGGAGCATATTTTATAAAATTTGCCACTGGATCAGCTAAGATGTTGAAACCTTGAAAATTACGCTACATGGGAGCTCTATCTAATGATCACTTCAAAATTTTTATAACGTGTTTCGTTAAAATAAAATAAAGCACATCTGGAGGAGATTTTTGATAAAAATCGCGCTTTTCGACTCAGTTTTCCAGTCAACGCGCAAACTCTGAATCGAAAAAAAAAATGAATTTTTATACAACTCCAAGAGCTCTACAAAACTAACATAGTAAGAAATTGCCGGCTGAAAATTGATGTAAATTTGGGACCACCTGTGTGGAAGCACCCGGTATAGATATTACGGAACGCTGTCTCTATAAAAGAGAGTTCTAATAGAAAAAGAAAAATACAAGTGTTTTCGTTAAGATGCCGCTAAGGCAGGATTGCAGCAGATTTTAGATTTGGCTCATTTATACCTCATTCGATGCAGTTTTCAACGCTGATCACGAATATGTGGTCGCGAGATCTTTTAGACAAAGTTTTCCCCGTCAAAAACTCGAAAAACTTTAGTAGTGTCGTGTTTTCTAAAACGGGTAGTTTTGCACTAAAAACTCGATAACTTTGCACCGTTAGGTCGCGTAGGTCTGCGGCTTTCGTATTCGGATTCAGCGTCAAAAACTGCATCTACGCATGTGCTTTTGAGTATTTCGAACCTTAAACTGGATTCTTGGTACAGCCGAAAATCCAAACCAGGAACTTTTGCTCCCAAACCAATCAAGTCTCGAAGGGAAAGTCTAAAAATTTGAAATAAGACGTCATTCGACGCGTCGTGAAAAACTGAACAAAGTTATACGTGCCGATTTTTGAGAAAAAATTTCTTTCAAAAATTATACCTCATTTACTGAGAAAAGTGGGAATTCTACCCCTAATTCGAAATTTTCTCCATCAGAACTCAACTTTTACGCAATGAAAATATTATATTCGGAATCAGTGTCGAAAATCGAGTCGAATGATGTGCTTTTCTTATCCTATTCGATCACTTTTATTTTTTCTGAATTTTCACGTCGAATAATTACCAAGATTTTCATCAAAAATGAAAATCAAGGAAAAATTTTCAAATATG